TAACGTAGGGACAGGTGCAGCACAGCTGCAGCAGCAACAACAATAAAAATAACAACTGCAGCAGCAGCAGCAGCAGCAGCAGCAGAAACTGCAACAATAACTTTTGGCGGACTTGTTGACATTGCTGCTGGCAAAAAGGCAACTCAGCTTGGCTGGTACCCTTCACAAAAATAATAAAACCCATATGCTTTGCGTTTTTGCTAAATGCAAAAAGGCACTCAAGTGCGACAACAACAACAGCAATAGCAACAGCAACAGCAACAGCAACAGCAATTGCAAGCGGCAATATTTTGCAATCGCCCACAACAACAACTGCGCGCAGAGACACACGAGTGCGAGATACATTTGAAAATATATATATGGAATACATGAGTAAAAGGAAAAGCAAGTAAAACATTGACGCAGCACTTTCCTAGATAAGTAGGCTACAACACAACAGCAACAACAACAACAACAACAACAACCAAAACAACAGCAATCACACACTGTGACTATTTTTTGCAAGCTTGCGCAAACAACAATTCTGCAAGCAAATTCAACTATCCCCTGCTCCACAACAAACTTCGCCCACGCTTAAGCCCTGTGTGAATATAGTCAAGCCTGCGCTTAAACTGTTTGCGAATTAAAAGCATAAAAGGGAAATACTCATATGGTAGCAAATTATGTGACGAGAATTTACGCGGCCAACTTAAATAACTGCCAGTTGAATTGTGCAACACTTTATCAGCTGCTTGTCAGCCTGACTAGAACTTTGAATGTGCTGATTTCAGAGAACAATATATATATAAAAAAAAGCAACGCCCAGACGTTATGTTGGCAGCAGCATAACAGCAAGTTGACAAAATAAAACCTCATTGTTTAAAAATCTTTATTAGCTGACTAGAAGTCATGGTTAAAAGTAAGTGCCAGTTAACGATATGTTAGCTCTTTGTGCATGAGTGGCAACGCCGCGATACTAAGGGTGCAATTATTTTGCCACAAACTGGCAGCGCTGCGCAGCTAAACACTTGTTGAACATGAGAGTGAATGAAATTATGTTAAAGCGCTTGTTAACTTTGACATTGACATGAAATGGGTATAAATGAATTGATATGCTGATAGCTAAGCAGCATGCTACAAGAATATCAGTCATATATGAAATGATCAAGTGCTTGTTAACTTTGACAGTAAGCTGCAGCAGCAACTTTCTACATCTGGCAACGCTCTGCCAGGCTGAGCGGTTCTCTGCAATGGCTTGAACTTTTCGCTCTGCTGCAGTTGCGCTGCGCACAAAACAAAAGACTTAGGACACAAACTAATGAAGAGGCAACACGCAGCAGCGGCAAAAAAACAGCAGCAAAAACGGCAACAACAATTAAACATTGCAATTTACCTGGGTGCTGTTGCAGCTAAATAAATAACAACTAAACAACATAAATTTGCCGCAACGCACTCAACTGTTAATTTAATAATTAAAAGCAACAATTGCTCTTGCGGCTGCAACTAAATGAATCTATTGCTGTTGTTGCTGCTGTTGCCTTTGGCACATTGACCCAAGTGACACGCAGCCTGAACTGATTGCTGTGACTTTGTGCGTTTGACGCCTGCCAAGGTGACTGACACCTAACAACCCCGAGAGCAGGCGACAACCCGGCAACCACTTGGGGCCCAGCCTCGTGTTGTTGTTGTTGCTCTTGTTGTTGGCCATTGACTTTGGCCTCTTGCCCGAGCAGCGTTTGGGTTTTTAGTTTTTTCTTTTTTTTGTCGCTTTTTATATTTGTAGCTTACGCCAAATTAACGCACAAAATCATTTTAATTGCGCGCACATTTAACAGCTGTTGTTGCCAGTCAAGTGCCGGCGCATCCATCAGATACAAGATACATTTGTATCTATGTAGCGCGTGGGCGTGCCAAACTTGACAGTGCATTTGCTTGGCCTTCAATTGTTGGGCCCAGGAAGTGCTACAGCTAATTGGCTGACACACAACAAACACACACACGCGCACACACACAGCTCATTTGGCAACAGCAAATGGCTAACAATAGCAGCCGCTTTTTGTTGAGATGCCCAACTGGTTTGTCTGGCCTACCTGGCACCACAGGCAAACCCATGCCATGCCATGCCATACCATTCCCCCTTCCCCCATTCACTCGACCCCGCTTCCCCGCCATCTCTCGGCTAGCCTCCCAACTTGGGCCGCCTCAGTAAACTCGTTTGACGCTGACCCAATTTCATGCCACTTATTTATTTTTTTTTTTTCGACTTTTTACAAATATTTTATTTAGTTTTGGCTTTTGTTTTTTTTTTTTGCACAACAAAAACTGAATTTATCTGAAATGCGTGCGCTTTGGTCCCGGGTCTCAGTTTCAGTTTCAATTACAACTTCAGAGACAGCTTCAAGTTGCAAAAAAAATGTGGCTAGTTACCTTAACGGCGAGGGGCGATGAGCTCAGGCATCGCTGAAGCTAGAGCTGGAGCTGAAGAAGCAGCTGAAGCTGGGCTAGCGTTAGCTATGGGCGCAGCCTTTTGGCCTCTCACTCGAGTGCAGTCAAGCGGCAAAAACAATTTGGCGGCACAGTGGCAGGTGTGAATGTGGCAACAATTCGATAACCACTCTACCATACCCTGCAATTTGCATGCCTAAAGGCCCCAACTATAGCTTTAACAATTCCAATTCAAATTCCTTGAATTCCTCAAGGAAGCGGCAAACGTTTGAGTTTAAGGGAGAAAGCTTGAATTAAATACATTATACTATTTATGCTAAAGGCTAAATATATAAAAATCTTCGAGATGTAAAGACCTAACGCAAAAGAAACAACTTGTGCAGAAGCTACTTTCCAACTTTGAAGGCTTCAACATAATCTCTGAGCGGATGAATCTAGCCACAGAACTCCGTATATCCTTTTAGAAGCAAATGAATGGTTGCCGGTTAAAGCTACAGATATTACACAATCAGGACAACAGACTTAAGTATATGTAACTCTCTCTAGTAAGTCTTTAAAGACTCGTTTTAAAAATTCAGAGCAGTTTTTGTCAAATTCTATGCAAAAACTGGCAACAGTTAAGCTCAAATAATTGGTTAAGACTTCAGTTAAATGAATTTTGCTAAAATATGTCATTTCCTGTCTGATATTATGTTAATGCTCTATACATATAATGTCTAAGCATAATGCCTAGGCAAACAATGAGGCTCAGCTCGTTACTTAAAAGGTAGTTTCTCATATCTTTGCCGTTATTTACAGTGCATAATGCATGAATCAACTGGTGGGAACTACCTATTTCTATATACCCTGGAAAAAGTATATTGGCTTTGTGCAACTGTTTGTAACAGGCCTTTGCCTGGAAGCAGCAGCAGTATATATTCCTGATCAACACAACGAACTAAGCTGCTTTTAAAATCTAGAGTCTTACAATTTAGCATATATCAATGTTTCCTTGTTTGCCACAAGCAGAACGAGCTTAACTTTTTATCTATCGATAAATATCGATTTTGCGACATGGTTTTTTAAGCCTATGTAGGTTCTTAGGTTTAGTGTAAACGGATCTTAAGGATTTCACTTTATTCAGAGTATCTTCTAGTCGTGCACGCCCTGCTAAAGCACTTTTACTTATTGTTGTTACCCATGCTGCATAGCCGGCTAGCCAAAGAGAGGGAGAGAAAAAAAAACAGAAAACCAAAGAGCTTAACTGTTTACTAGACGGACAAACGACGCAATGCTGCACGTTTCAACACCCGCACGATAACAAGCCAACAACAACAACAACGACAACAACTACGACAGTAACAACAACGTGACAACAGCTGCTGTTGTTGTTGTTGTTCAGTCTTAACGGCTGATCGAGTGACAAGGCGAATGAATTATGTTTAGTCCGATAAATAAATGAACAACAAAAAGATATTTCGTATGTAGATTTGTTAAATTTACCAATCGAGCGCCAATTATAACCGAAAGCAACAACAACAACAACAACAACAACAACAACAACAACAACAACAACAATAAACAATTTGGTAGCTCTTACATCAGAGCTTGTAGATATTGTAATAAAAACGAATGGCCCCACGATTCGAAAGACAAAATAGCAGCAGCAGCAACAACAATAATATACTTTTGTATCTTTGTTGTTGCTGCAGTTTTTAACGGCATTTTGCGTGGTTTACATTCATTACAAGCCGCATTTGTTGTGGCTGCGACTGCCAAAGCGGTTGCGTTTTTTTTTTTAACGATATTGGCCGCAATCGACGTCAAGGTCGGCACTGCAAGTGCCAAACGCCAATGGCCCTTTTCAGGTCAGACCATGGGGCAGGGGGTGGGGGGGGCGAGACACTTAAAAGCCATTGCAACAAAATTTGAAATGCAAGCGTGCGCTGCAATCAACAACAATGCTCAACTAATTGTGAATGACTCCGATTGCATAAAGTGTAACACTTTAACGGTAGCCGTACCGGTACGGCAGATATTTGTTTGGGGCATTTATGAGGTTGCACACGGTTAATCGCTTTAAAATTAATTAATTAAGTGAGTTCAAGCTGAACAGCCTAAATTGCCAGTTGGTAGTGCAACAATCTGTTAAAGATACGCAGGAGCACCCTCCAACGGTAGGGCTCCTTCACGTTGGAGCCTCACGACCTTGGTGCTTAAGTTAAAACTTTCCCTAAAAAGTGAAAACTGTTGAAAGTTCGTTATTTGCGGGTTGTTCAAGTCTATCGATGACACCCACTGGCACCCTTTTGATGGTAGGGCATCCTAAGGCAGGGCCTCATGAAGACAGACACGGAATGGCAACAGTTGGATGTTTCTTATGAGACGTTATAAGGGGAATCTTTAAATTTAAGCTCATATATCAATGACTCTGACGGGCACCCGTTCAACGGTAGGGCACCTTGACGTTAAGACCTCGTGCCCGCAGTGGAACATACCGTAAGACGGGTTATAAGGTTAGGTCTTAGGTGCTTAGGGTATAGAGTCACAGGAATCTGCAAGACAGGTTATTCAATCTCGTAGAGAATTTGCGACTTGAAACTCCTATATTTTTTGTATGAAAACATATCTAAAATCCTATCGATAAAAACAAATTTCTTTCTCTTGCAGCTATCGAACGTACAACATAAACAGCTCGTGTGAAGACGCAGCAGCAGCAGTCTCAGACAGCGGATTGGAGGGATCGAAGTCGCCACGCCATGCACAAGAGAAAGAGACCCTAGAGCGAGAGAGAGAGAGAGCGAGCGAGCGAGAGAGAGACTTAATCAAAAGCCAGAAGAGAAGCAGAAAAACCCAAACAATCATCCTATCGTTGCCATTATTATCAACGTCGATCCCGACAAATATGGTGCTAAATCTCCTATTTATCACGACGGTCATCAAGTCCACATTCGGTGTGGTAACCACCGGACTCTGGCTAATACCCTTGCTCTTAGCGGCCATTACATATTATCGCTATGATGCAGTGGATCCGGAATCGCGGCCATTGGACCAGTTGAATCTGTGGCCCGAATATGATTTCATAGTGGTGGGCAGCGGCTCGGCGGGCGCGGTGGTGGCCAATCGACTGAGTGAACTGCGCAAATGGAAGGTGCTGCTGATCGAGGCCGGGCCGGATGAAAACGAGATCTCGGATGTGCCCTCGCTGGCCGCCTATTTGCAGCTAAGCAAACTCGACTGGGCCTACAAAACGGAACCCTCGACGAAGGCCTGTTTGGGTATGCAGAACAATCGCTGCAATTGGCCGCGAGGCCGGGTCCTGGGCGGCTCCTCCGTGCTTAACTATATGCTCTATGTGCGTGGCAATCGGCATGACTACGATCATTGGGCCTCGCTGGGTAATACCGGTTGGGATTACGATCAGGTGCTGCACTACTTCAAGAAGTCCGAGGACAATCGCAATCCCTATCTGGCCAAGAGCGCCTATCATGGTCGTGGCGGGCTGCTGACCGTGCAGGAATCGCCCTGGCACACGCCGTTGGTCGCCGCCTTCGTGGAGGCGGGCACGCAGCTGGGCTACGACAATCGGGACATCAATGGCGCCCAACAGGCGGGCTTTATGATTGCCCAAGGCACCATACGACGCGGATCACGGTGTTCCACGGCAAAGGCGTTTCTGCGCCCGATACGCCAGCGTCCAAACTTTCATTTGTCGATGAACTCGCATGTGACACGCATCATCATCGAGCCGGGCACCATGCGCGCCCAGGCCGTGGAGTTTGTGAAGCATGGCAAGGTCTATCGCATTGCGGCACGTCGCGAAATTATATTGTCAGCGGGCGCCATCAACACGCCACAGCTGATGATGCTCTCGGGGCTGGGGCCGCGCAAGCATCTCGAACAGCATGGTATACGTGTGCTGCAGGATCTGCCTGTGGGCGAGAATATGCAGGATCATGTGGGCATGGGCGGCCTAACGTTTCTTGTGGACAAGCCCGTGGCCATAGTGCAGGATCGCTTCAACCCAACGGCGGTCACCTTCCAGTATGTGCTACGCGAACGCGGACCCATGACCACGTTGGGCGGTGTCGAGGGTCTGGCCTTTGTGCACACACCCTACTCCAATCGGAGCATCGACTGGCCGGACATACAGTTCCACATGGCGCCCGCTTCCATTAACTCGGACAATGGTGCGCGTGTCAAGAAGGTAATGGGTCTTAAGGAGTCCGTTTATCAGGAGGTCTATCATCCCATTGCCAACAAGGATAGCTGGACAATAATGCCGCTGCTGTTGCGTCCACGCTCCAGGGGCAGTGTTCGCTTGCGCTCGGCCAATCCCTTTCACTATCCGCTCATCAATGCCAACTACTTTGATGATCCGCTGGATGCCAAGACGCTGGTGGAGGGCGCCAAGATAGCGCTACGCGTCGCCGAAGCGGAGGTGTTCAAGCAATTCGGCAGCCGGCTCTGGCGCAAGCCGTTGCCCAACTGCAAACAGCACAAATTTCTATCCGATGCCTATTTGGAGTGCCAGGTGCGCACCATATCGATGACCATCTATCATCCCTGTGGCACCGCCAAAATGGGTCCCAGCTGGGATCCGGAGGCTGTCGTTGATCCACGACTGCGTGTCTATGGTGTGCGTGGGCTGAGGGTCATTGATGCCAGCATTATGCCGACCATCAGCAGCGGCAACACGAATGCTCCGGTCATTATGATCGCCGAAAAGGGCGCCGATCTCATCAAGGAGGATTGGCTCAACAATCCCGAGTATAAAGTCAAGCGGCAGGATGGCTACAGTGACAGCGAGCCGGCCGCCAGCAGCAACAGTAACAGCAGCAACTTTCACAGCAGCAACAATTTGACGCTAGCAGCAACAGCTGCTGACAGCCTGACAAGCAGTTAGCTGTGCTTGTCATTGGGCCGGGGTCAGGTGTGCTCAGGGGTCAACTAGCTTTACAAGACTCAAACAACTGAACGGACAGTCCGACTGTCGGACTGTCGCACTGTCGGACAGTCGCCTTCATGGACAGCGTGTTGCTTTTTTATTATCAAGTCCCGAACAAAAGTTTGCCATTGTTTCAATCTAGTGTTAAGACAAACAAACAAACAAACAAACAAAAGTTCGCCTTTTTGGGCTGCTATCACATAACGCCAAACACCAACAACAATCAACAATGGTTGGCAACATCAGCAACAATAACAACGACAACAACAGCAAATAGTTTCCCATGCAAACATTTATCCCAAAATGATGTAATGGCGTGAAAAGCATGAAATCGAGTCATAGTTATGTACCATATATAATTTCTAGACTCTAGTTAAGCTAAACATAATTATTGCAATTAATTTTAAATTTTATATCTATTCTCATTTTTTTTTTGTCTTATTTAATTTATAATGAAATATTTGTATAGTAAATATTTTTGACTATTTATAAGCCACATACGAGCATAATAATTATTTATAAAAAACATCTGAGCTAAAGTTTATTAAATAAATTAAATTAATTGAAATGAAGTAAATTCGAAATGCTTGACTAGCGTATACCCTACATATGATCAGGTCGGATTACTATAACATAAAGTTTTCTCAAGATAAACTCAACTATAACTCAGCTTAACAGCGCTCAGATAAATTTTACGTAATCTGTTTCCATCGGAACAGTTGGTCGGAAATAAAGCTTTCTATATCATTTCATAGACCCAAAGGTATTCAATTTACGACTTGCTGTTTTGTCTTGTTTTGTATTTATTTAAAGCTGAAGGCAAATAAATTAGCACTAGTTTATATAGACACGAACAAGGATAAATCAATTCGTTTACACTCAAGAATATAAATAATCAAACTTGTTTGTTGCCATCGTTTGCTAATTAAATAATTCTATTGTTTTTGTGTGTCATACATTTTGATACATATACCCGGCAACATTAACAGCAACAAGCCCAAGGATTGGCCCAACCAATTCAATAATTTATGTCGTCCGCCTAAAAGCAGGCAACACAAAAATCGTCAACAGCAAATAACTGGGGCGTACCCATAGAGATGGCTAAGCCAACGATGAATAGCTGCCTCATACGATGAATAAATGCACGAGTAGATGAGAGCAAATGCAAATATACTTTAAAGTAGGCAATTGTATAATTATTTGAATACTTTATCAACGTATTTAAACGTAACTGTTATTCATTTATTTTGGCTCAATTTTAATATTGAACACACTATTTAGTTGCCTTTCCGTTCTTTGGTGTCATGGGGCAATCAATTTAGATTTTTACGACTTTTACGAAAATTAAATATCGATTCAATTTAAAAAAGTAATCCCTTAGCTTAGAGAATTTATTGTTGTATTAATCGTTTTCATTCAATCAAATGCAATTTAATTCCATTCAGTTGCATTTGGTAAAAAATTAATTTGTCAGCAAAGAAGCATTTTGCTTCATACAAACGATAGTTGCGCTAGGCGCATATCTAGCTAATAGGATATTTATGTAGCCCAACAGTTGGGCGCAGTCATTAAATGACAAAGCACAAAATGACACGCAAATGCAAATTGAATGAAATTAGTTGAATTAATGGCTTGTTGCTTCAGCTTTACCAAAGCAAAAGCCGCACAAATAAACAAAAGGAAGAGAGAGACAGAACCTGATATCGATGTCATATACGGCTTGTAATACCCTGAACCCATTAAAAATGGATCAAATAAAGGGTATAATGATTTTGTGAGCATGTATGCAACAGACAGAAATCTATATCATATACTCTTGATTGGCACGTTGAGCTGACTCGAACTAGTCAGGTAAGTTCCACTATTCCCCAGTCTGTTTCCCTATTTGCACTCGTTAAGCATAGTTCGAAAATTATGAGAGCTAGCCGCACTCAATTTGGTATATATGTAGATAATCATATGGTATACACATATCGCGAATATTTTACGATTGGGATACCTTCTGATATGTTCCCAACATAAGCAAAAACTTATATTCAAAGAGTGAGCTGTGCGCTTTGGGATATTTGAGGGTATCACCTAGTCGAGCACTCCCATCGTTACATGTTCTTGGTTATTTTTGTCTTTTTAGCCCTGACAAAGGGCGCATCAGCGATAAATTCAACTTTGAACTTGGCCACAACACGAGCCACTCGCCGCGAACAACGCCCAACAATTTGGCCATAAATCATCTCAAGAGCTTAAAATTGGCGACCTTGAACAGCAATTTTCATGTCCATAACTTCGGAAGCCGGAAACTCCATTGATTCAATACAGCTTGACTCGACTGACTATTGACTAATCAATGCAAATTGCATTGGGTATTTTTCCGGCTAAGAAAAAACGGAAACGTGTGTCCAACACCAACGTACAGAAGGTGTTAAAAGCTAAGACCCTGCCCGGAAAGCCTTCCCAAATGGTACAAGAAAACATTCCACTACCAAAAAAAAAAAACTGGCTCTGCGATAAAATGTTAATTTTGGTTGAGTTAATTAATAAAGCTTAGCTAACAAAAACAAAAACAAAACTAACTGAGAGTTGACTCTTGACCATTTTACAGCTACATTTTACACTTGGCTAACGGTCAGCAGGCGGTTCAGCACGCAGTTGAAGGTCGTCGATGAGGTGCGGCAAAGCGAGCAAATGGTTATACCTGTTTATACCCTGTACCCAGGCAAAGAGGGTCATACAAATGTGTGCTGTGTGCAGGCACAAGATATTTAGTAGCCCATTAAATAATTTGTTTAAGCCAAGAGCGAATACAGAGTAACTTGGAGCTCAAACTATTTTCTATCTACTTCTATATATGTGAATGAAACGCAAGAGCTAGGCAAAGCAAATCTCTAGTGATCTCTTCTGTGCATTTGTAGGCTATATATACTACAGGGTGTGTGACTGTGTGGCAGAAATGAACTCAGAGTTAGCTAGAGAAGTCAAATTGGGTATGTAGCCTCTTTTGGCATTTGTAGCCACCATCTAGTACAGGGTATCTGTCTGTGAGGCACTCACAACTCTTTTATGCTATCTCTATTTGTATGTTAAGCATTCACAACTAGAGCAATTAAAATATTTGATGCATTACGTATACGCAGCTATTAGAAGAGTTCTCTCATAAATGAGCACCAAGTTTATATAAACGAAATGCCGCAAGCGAACTCATCTGGACGTTTTTGTTGCAAAGACTACGCTAACAGAATAAAATGTATTTATACGATGGTGAAACACACGCCCACAGACAACACCTGCAGAAGCAAACACAACGTCCGCTCAAATAACACGGAGTCTAGCAGCGTTTGGGTTGGCAAATTTGGTTCATTGTGTGGATTTAAATAATTATAGAAACGAGCACAGAGCATTTACAAACAACGTTTACACGTGATTATGGCATTTGAATAGCTTGGTTTGAGCATTACGTATACGCAACGTTGCATGCAGACGCAGCACTTGCAGCATTTGGCTGCAGCTGCTGTTGGCATATTCTGCCGTTTGTCACCAGGTGTGCCCTTCGCCAAGCTAAACAAATTTTGGACGTAGATACATACAAATTTGGCAATGCAAAGCCAAAGCTAAGGCAAGCCATTAACTGGGTCAATGGCTGACGGAAGTTAAATCGCATCAACAAACTCTGCGCGGGCAACAAGTTGTTATTGTTATTGTTTTTTTTTTTTTTTTTGTCTTTTAGTATCGAATGCATGAACTTCCTTTTTTTGTTCGGCGTCGTTACGTGCCACTTAGAGGTTAATAAACTTGTTATAGTCTGATATGATTTGTCAATTAGCATTTGCATGCGAGTCCGTTAGACAAGAGCCAACTCACGCAGCCCACCCAGTTGACCCAGACCCAGTGAACTTGATCTCTAGCCAAAAGACAAAAAGAAAAAAAAAACAACAACAACAAAAACTCAAATAAAAAAGAAAAAAATATTAAGAATTTCAGGGCTAAGAAGTTTTTACCACGCACGCTTCGCAACCAGCTAGACTTTAAGTTTGAGCTTACCTGTAAAGAGACAGAGAGAGAGAGAGAGAGAGAGAGAGAGAGGTTGTGTATTAATTATGGAAGCTATTTTAAAAATTACAACGTCACATTGAAATTGTTATTAATGATTGTCTGCTGGAGACGGAAATGTTTTCGACGCTTCTACAGAACATCTAATGCTCCATCCAACCGGTCTCCCCTCTCTAGATTTGGCCCTGTATTTAAGTAGCTATAATCGCTTCCATGGCTTACACTAATATAAGTGGCAACATAATCAACGGCATCATTAACAGACTTGGCTCTCGGAGACTGGTTTATTAGAATTCTAAGCGGCGACCTTGACTTAATTTCATGAGCGCTGGGCGTTACTCAATGCCCGGAAATAGGCCACTGGCCCGTCAATTAAAATACCCAACAGACTATATACGCATATATGCTGTTGATCAATGTAATTGCTTTGTTTTGCTGTAACTTAATCGTCTATCTAATGTACGCGTTTATAATCGCTAATTGTTCGATTGTGCATATAGAATATCGTTACGTTAATAGCATGGCCAATCGGACAGTCGGACAATCGGCTTATCGATTGCCGATTGTCCGGCCGATGACAGCCGTGACGCAGCACTTGAGGTTCACTAGCCCAACGTTTGTCAGTTGAACAACATTTTCGATTTCAGTGTGAACCCATTTGTATACCCTTGCACAGGGTATTGTATTATTTGTGCAAAGGGAGGACACATCAAGCAAAATGTATTACCAGATACATTGATGGATGATGTTTCGGGCTCCTTTTTTCTATTTTATGCAGTTATATAAGAAGAATCTGTCGCGATTTGAGCTTTCCCATTTTTCAAGCTACCTTCAAGAAAATCAGCTACATTATTCTGTCCACATATCTCCATAAACATATCAAATTACACTTCTCTAGTATTTTTCACAACATCCAAAAGGGCATTTAGGCTTCGGCGTGTGGATGTAAGACGTTATTTCTTTTGTTATTTGACCATATAATGCATAATTGCCAAGCATGTGGACAATTGTTCAGTTTGAATCAGATCTTAGCTCTGACAATTGCCGATTGTCAGTCAATTGCCATTCAGTCGACTGGGCTCATAATTATTTTGGTAGCACTTTTGTTTGCGGTCAGCTCGTGAGCACTTTAAAGTGTGCAATTATTTGAGATTTTTTTCTCGTATTTAACAAGCTGGAAGTGACGTCAACGGCTCAACGATCCGCCACATCAAATGAATAAAAATATACATAAAACATTTTTAAGTGTCGCTATTCAGCAAGAGTTCAAGCACTTGCAGAACGGAAGAAGAACAAGAGCAAGGAAGTACACAAAGTGGGTGCAGACAGCTGTCAAAATAGTTGTCACTATCAAGATTAT